CCCCAAAACCCCAAAACCCCAAAACCCCAAAACCCCAAAACCCCTTTAGTTACCAAATTTATAGAAGTATATAATAATAAAAGATTTATTAAACTGGAAAAGCCAACATGGACCATAAATCCCAGGATGAGGAAGATTTAGCTTCTGGAAAAACCTCTATAAAACAAAAAGAAATCAAACATCTTCCAGATGTATATATATACTCTATAAACAGTGAAGAAGAATCCTTATCAGATGAAACCAAGAACAGAAGTCAACTTAACCAAAACTTCAGCTCTCTTATTCCTAACCCTAATCTAAACCTTGCTGATATCCAAATAGAGGAAGAGAAGTCATTTCCCTATCAATCCTCGGATCCCTCCCCTTCCTCTATAAGCATTCCAAGCCCAGTTTCCTCACCACCCCCTGTACCTATTGAAGATCCTTCGAAAAGACTAAAACTTGATGAAGGTAAGTTAGCCTATTGAGTTTTTTAAGGATTAGTAGTTTTTACGAAACTTTAGCTTTTATTGAAAAGTTTTGGTCCTTTCTGGTTCTGGGGAAAATGAGGGGTTTTGGGGTTTTGGATCCGTCAGAATGGGTATTTTAGAGGCTGGGAAGAGATTTTGAGGAGGTTTGGGGTAGGATAGGAGAGGGTATTTTTATAATATTCTGAATTTTGGCTGAAAGGGGGTTTAGAGGGCAGATATGGAGTTTTGGAGGAGTTTTAATGGTAAGGAATTGAATTTTGAAGTAAGAGGGCTTGTTTAAGGTTGGAAGAGTGTGGTAGCTTTAATATTTTTATTTTAGTTGTTTAATAAATTTTCTCATAGAGGAAAATATTTTGCAAAATATTGTTCTATAATTTGTTATTAATAAAGAAATATAATGACCCAAAACCCTGTTTCATTTTCATCAAGATTCTTGAAAAGACTATTAGAGAGTGAATTAAAACTTTTCCAAATTACTATTTAGTCTCTCCATTCGATCTTTTAAAGCTTCAATAAATGAGTGTATAGGAGAGACAAATTCAATGCAAAATAATGATAAGATGAAACAGCTATCTTTTAGTGGATCAACAGAAAGCACTTTGAGAAAATGTTCATCAGCTGATATCCTCCAAACTATTGTGCATACTCAAGATTCACTTCTCAAAGTACAATCCCTATCCATAAAGAGTTCATTGTAAATATAAAGTTTAACACTAAATAGCACCTACATTGATGGCCAATCCAAGTCTCATTTCAGTAAAGGACAACTTACTAGTAAAGACCAATCTCATTCATTTTCTCAGCTCAGCTTTAATTCAGAAAGTAAGTCAAAGGCTTGATTCTTGATCGAGTCCTTATGCCTCTCTAGACTAAGTACTTAACAGCAGATGCAATGAGGAAAGGATTTCATGAAGTATACTCTGTGAAAGACTTGTCTTCATAGTGAAGTGAACACTCACTTCAAATTGGATTATGAAGGCGTATTGATTCTGCTCTACGAGTTCGCAAATAGCTATAATTGCCTTCCAAGGAGGGTTGCTAACTAGCGACTGTAGATCTCAGCGGATGTCATCAGCTTGTAAGTATTCTGAACCTTATTTTTAGAAATCTTCAGTGTCAATGTGGCTCATGTTTTAAGATAGTCTCAGACTATTCCACTACCAAACCTACTCCAAGCTATGCTCTTATTTATTTGATCGTAGCATGAATTAGTCAGCCATTTATTTACATTTGAAGTTTTAACTCATAATTCACCTAAATCAACCCTTCTCTCATCTCTAGGGGTTTTGGGGTTTTGGGGTTTTGGGGTTTTGGGG